GAAAAATTGCTTTTGTGTATTCGTAGGATATTCGTATGAGCCATATAGAATTCCATCTCGAATCATCACTCTTATGTTACTACTGGCTTCACTGAGCCTTTACGCGGCTTACACGGCGAACATCGTGGCTCTTTTACAGTCTACCACAGATTCGATCAAAACCCTTTCCGATCTCTTGTATAGCCCGTTAACTCTTGGAGTGCAGGATATACCATACAATCGATATTATTTTAAGGTAAATATAATTGTTACAAAACAAGGAGTTAAATAATAAAACTCCAACACGGTACAAAGCGCATTTTGGTGCTTCCATATAATTATATTAGTGTGAATCTTACAATTTTCGGTTCATATAACACCACGTGGCCGCAAATCGCGTGCTTCTCCGCAACTCCGAATCTAGTAGTATGTAACATTAAAATTAAATTGCCATAGGCAATCTAATAAATTGATGCTCAAAGCATCTATTTTTTAATAAATCCCCCCTTAGGTAGTATACTAATTGTAAGATTCACTCCAATATTATATGGAAGCACCAAGATCCGTTTTGTACCGTGTTGGCGTTTTAAGATCTCAATTGTTAGTTAACTTTTCACGATCTTTCCTAATACTTTATTAAATAATAAAAGATTTTATTGAGAGAAATAAATTTCGTTTTATTGGAATGTAGGCTTCTCAAGATCCTATTAGGAAGGCGATCGTGGAGCAGAAAATAGAACCGAGAGGACATAAATCTAACTGGATGAGTCTGGAAGAAGGAGTACGCCGCATACGAAACGAACCTTTCGCGTTTTATTGCTTACGAAGCTCGATATACTACATCATGCAACACACATATCAGGAAGAGGAGAAATGCGGTCTAACTGAAATCGATTTTATAAGCACGATTCTTGTGGGATACCCGCTTATTGCGATACAAAAACAATCACCTTATTTAGAAATAATAAAAAACGGGTAAGTTTATATTGACTTCTCACACGATGCAAACAGGAATTAATGTACATATTAAAGTTTCACGTAAAAATCTTTTGTTAGAAAACGCATAATGTCTCGTATTAAGTATATATAGTAATTTCGAGATATTTTTGAGAATATGGTATAAAAAAATCGACAATTACTTAAGCGTTATATTCCTAAAATTCAGGGTTGGGTAGTGCCTCGTTAATAAGATAAAAGTTGAGTTAAAAAGTTAAATAATTTTAATTTACCTTAGTTACATTTTATGGTCTTAATTTTTAACTTAATTTAGTTACATTTTTAGTGCTTCTTGTAAACCCAAAATAACATACATCATGTCTATGTTAGTTCTTCAAATTTGAGAACACACATCAAGGCAATTATAATAATATTAATAAATATAGTCTGGCCGCGGGAAGGAATCACGGTTCGCGGACTTTCTGTGCATTAAATTATGTTGGAAGAAGTCCTTCAAAATCGGTCCTCTTTCCGCGGCTTGATAGAAATAAGTATAACAAATATACACTTTATTTAAAAACTTTATCTAAAAACCCTAAAAGTGTAAAATGAAAAAAATTGAACTTTAACTTTTTAATTACTTTTTTTTATTAACTTAAATTTTAACTCAATTAGTTTTGTTATGGACTAACTTGTATCTTAACTAAGTTAAACTTTTAGACTGTTATCTTAACTTAGTTTTAAAAAAATTAACCTACCCAAACCTGCTAAAATTATACTTTTATTCTAAAAACGGTTTTACTTATAAAAGAATCGAGAATGAAATTTATACGAAGAATACATTTTCTTTATTTTTTCTGAAAAATAAACATTATTTATAAAAAAAATTTGCAGTAATATTTTCATACATAACTTTTATGTTTTTTTAATAATGTTTTGATTGCTTTGGAGAGTAACTTTTTTTAAATTAAACTTAAAGAGGCTTGCGTTGTGTTTGCATAAAATACTAGAATAAATTGTGATGTATGTATAGTACTCGAAGAAAATGTTTTTAGAGCTTTGAAACTGCAAGAATATGGGCTCAAGCATCGCGACGAATATCGCATGTTTACGAACAAACCAATGTGTTCGAGTCAGACTGGCTTCATTACCATCGGTTTTACAGAATGCTACTTTGCGATAGTTGTGATGGGCTACGGAGCGCTACTCAGCGTAATCGTATTTGTATTCGAACTGTTATGGCATAAAAGGTAATACTCCAGAAAAATTCTCTCTTTTGTACATGCGTCATTATAATAAATAATCTTATGTTTCATTTTATAGGCAAAATGTAAATATGATAGAAGAGACTGTGGTAGAAGAAAGGGATCCTGAAACCGTCGACTATATTAACTAGACTATTGCAAAATGTGTTATTGGACAAAATTTAGAAGATTTAAAACTTTCTAAATTACTGATGCGGCAAGCAAATTAACTTTATTATTCTGAGGATTCTTTCCGCGATTTTTAAGAAGGAAAGTCGATAGTCAATATTTATTTAGCGTAAACACTAATATAAACAGTGTTAATTATATAATAGTAAAAATTGATAATATACATATAAATATTAAATATATGTAGTATGCATATAATATGTATGTAATTCTTTTTATTGTATAGAAAGCTGAACCCCAAATATTTCCCGACATATCAGGTTTTAACTTTGAAAGACACTCCTGTTTTGTATGATGTTGTAAAATTGATTAATAAAATAAACAATTTACAATTATAATTAATTTTAATAAAGTTACCAGTATTTATTACATATTAATAAAGATTATATTATATATATTATATATTATGGCGCTATTTTCTATATAAATACAATTCTAATAAAAAATTTATTAATTTGTAATAAAAAATTAGTAATGTATTTAAAACACAATGTAATAATTATATTAAAAGAAATTACAAAATACTATTATATTTATTTATATTTAAAATAATTCCGTCTTTTCCGCTTTATATAACAAATGCCTATATTTATATGTATATTTTCTAATAATTTTCTTTCAATTTTGTTGTAAATTTAAAAATTATTATACGTATATAAATGACAAATATTTTGTTTAAATCTTTCAAGAACAGATGGAAATCTATCATTCCGACTGCTGCTATTACGAAAGTGAATATACATATAACTGTAGTGGCATCTGCTGACTAAATACCATACTAATTTACGCGAGAGTAATAGTTACGCGCGAATATGCGAATATAATATGTATATAATTTACGGCTGGAACGACACATTTGATAAAGTGTCTCTATACTGATTGTGAGACAAATATAATAATCGCAAGAGATGATTTTTACATGTTAGATTTTTTCATAAAACAGTGCAGACATTACTGTACATACATTATATGTATAACATACATCACCACACATACATATACATAATTTGTATAATAAATTTATAAAGATGGATTTTGTGTTTTGTATATCATAAAATCTTTTTCCACTCAAAAGTGAATTTTATAAACGTTTATACAAATATTGATTTCTCAAACCAAATTATCTCGTCTAAATTATTAATTATTGCATAATGATAAATTACATTATGTTACAAAAAAAATTTTTTTTATCTCTCTGGAGTGCGACCAATCTTTTCCCGAAGATTTTTTCGTACTAAACACGATGCCGTTTGAAGAATTCGCCTAGCACGTCAGGATTTTGAGTAAATTGGAATTAAATTGGCCAAAAGTTTTTTACCATATGGCGTCTTTAATTCCAATTTACTCAAAATCCTGACATGCTAAATGAATTTTTCAAACGGCACCGTGTTCAGCGCAAAAAAAATCTTCGGGAAACGATAGGTCGCACTTCGGAGAGAATTTTTCTGTAACAGTGTTATTACATAATTGTTACACAAATTATATCATACTAAATTAGTACATGTAACATCTATGATAGAAAAGACAAGATAAGTTTTTTATTTTTAAAGCTATTAAAAATCTTAAACCAAGAAAATTTAACAGGCATTGATTGCATTTGCAGGCATTTTGACTATTCTTAAGCAAGTATAATTTTTAAAAATTTCAAAAATTTTAAAGTTAAAAATCGTAAGCTAAAAAAATTTAGCGGGCTATCAAATTGAATAAAAATCACAATTTTAATCCTTTTAATTTTTTAAAATGTCAGCAATTTTTAAAATATGTATTAAAAATTGTAAGCAGAAAAAAACGGTTCGCTGAATTTATGGCAATTGAATATTTTTAATATGTCAAAATATATGTACAAAGCCATACTCGAACTCATCTAATATGAAATTCAGCTTTAGAGAATGGCATTACACTCAAGTGTTGAGATCAGTAAATATGTAGATAAAAGGAGGCTGCTCCAATCACCTTGACCTTTGACATATATTGTCAAGATTATGACCCTGAGTGACCTTCAGAAAGTTTTAGTCGTCGCTTGTTACTAAGGATTTTAAAGTCACAAGAAATTCTGAACTAAGAAAATTTGATAAGCTGTTGAATGGAAAATAATAAAGGTGTGCGAATCAAGCATTTGCATAGTCGAATCAAATCGAATCGAATTTTTTATAACATATTCAAAATCGAATCGAATCGAATCGAATCTGAATCAAATTTTAGATTAACATTACATGTTAATTTAAACGTAATAAATATCAACATTTACGATTTAGATTATTTTACGCAATGATTTAAATAAACTGAGGACCTGTTTTCAATTTACATCTCATTACAAAGAATCATGATCTTATGTGACATTTTAAACTAAAAAATATTAATAATATGTGTATGCACGAATAGTTAGAATGCTTTTGAATATTTTATTAATCTATATGAATACATTACATATATCAAAAATACTTATTTATTAGGTAAGAATAATTAATCGCGCGGGAGATGGTAAATGAACCAAATAAAATAGGCGATCGATTCGAAATCAAATCATTGTTGATTCGAAATTCTCGAACTATTCGATTTCGAATTTTGCAGATTCGAAAACAAACTCGAATCGAACCTACTGTGATTCGATTCGATTCGAGTTCGAACTATTCGCACACCTCTAGAAAATAAATATACTTGAGCAATTATAATTCTTTAAAGATCTGTTTTAAAACTCAAGAAATTTTGTAAATTAAATATATATATATATATATATATAACATATTAAAACTAATTCTTCAAAAAAATAAATAACTTTATTCCTTTAATCTCCAAAATTAATATTCTAAATAAACTATTCTTTGACCTAAATAATATGATAAAACTATCTAATTTAATCCTTTTATTAATTTTGCCCTTAATATTTATTATTTTTATTCTCATTACTAACCATATACACCCTATTATTATAATCATTTATTTAATTATTTATAGAATTCGTGCTTCATGTGTCTTCGTAATAAAATTTGCTGAAGCAACCTGTAATACGCATGCATTTCTTCGCGATACTTATTTAAGTACTGCAATAATGCGGCGAATTACACGGTGATTTCGTTATGAATCTTTGATCAGCCTCTGCCTCTGGGAAGCTGGCTATGTTGTGGCGGCGCGGTGTCATAGCAACCACCGGCGTGTAAACCCCCGGGCGTTAGTCGCAACTTACCCTTCGCGTCGCGCGATGCCGCCGAATTCTTGAAGCGTTCCGGAAAAATGTCGCTGTTCAAGACGAAGGAATGGTGGAGAACGCAGTGCGGAGTAAACGAGTCCTTCGATAGGCGCAGCCTGCTGATTACGCCGTTGTTCGGCACCGACCGGAAGGACGTCGTCGTCGTCGGCAGCCACAGCGGCTACCTCCGGATATACAGCCCGTCCTCGCAATGGATAGACGAGACCAAGTCACCGAGCGGTTACAAGTCCTCGGACTTGATCATCGAAACGCAAATCGGCGATTGCATCGTCGACATGAAGGCAGGCAGATTCGTCTCGTAAGTGAGACCGCGAGATTTGCGAAGTGAAAGGATTATTGACGTCTCGAAAAGGCGTATTGCACGTTTTTAACTCTGGAATGCCTCGTGGCCTCGTGAATAAAGATTTGCGAAAGAAGCCGAAATAACAGGAAATCATTTCAATTAGTCAAAATCAATTATGGTGGAAAAAAATCAATTTAAATTTTATCGATAAAAATTATAAATCCAAAAATAAAATGAAAAATTAATCTCTGGCAAATTAAAAAAATTTAACAAAGAAAATAGATTTAAAAAATAGTTGCTGGAAAATTATGCAAAAACTCGTCTTGTGTGTATTTTTAAATTACTAATTTGACGTATATATTTTTTTCAGTAATAAATGGCTCGTACGTTTTGTATATAATTGTGGATAAAATCAAATAAGTTATATAAACGCTAAAAATAAATATGAAGAAATCTATCTGTATGTGTCTCATAGTAACTTTAGGATATTATTTAAAATTTAAAGTCGTTATTAAATCATGTTTAAAATAACCTTTATTAAATTAAACTAATTAAAAAAATTAAGCACTTTACAACGCTGCTTGCTTAAATGTTAGACCTTTACCGATAGCGATCATGATCTGTTTCAGAGGCTCGCAAGATACTCGACTCGCGATACTGACGTCAAAAAAACTCGTTATTTATAACATAATTTTGAGCCAAGGATCCGTTGAACACGGTTTGTATATCACAATAAATTTATTATATTAAACATTTATAAAACAACAAATTAAAATGCACCCGATCTGCACATTTGTATTTTTATTACTAACTCTTTTCTCTATTGCCCTTTAACTTTTTAATTAATTTTATGAGTCTCTTCCTGTTATTCATGTTAATAAGTAGTACGTTTTAAAGCGCGACGTGCTCAGTAAACAAATCGTCCATTTTTAATCAAGTTTCCATCAACTTTAACTTATAGAGGCACAAATACACGCACAATGCACGTTACATTTGATGAAAGGAGAAAACAAGCAAAATCGCTGCAAGAAATCTCGCGATTTTTCTATTCTTTTAATTGGACTCTAGAATCACAATATACGCCGCATGTTATCAGAATATTAATTTTAGTGTCGTGACAGTAACATTAATCGCGCGACGGAATAACCGTCGAGAGAAATGGGCAGTGTGACCATAACGACTAACAAGATCGAGCGATCGTGAGGGCTGCATGTGCAGATCCGACTGAAATTCTCGCGAGAAACCTGTCTTAAGAATGATCCTCTAATTAAATTTTGCAACCTCAATAAAAGAGTGTATATGGATAGAATATGTCAAGCATTATATTTTCAGTTCATTGCATTGTCTCGTAATTACCTTATGAATATTTCTCATTATTGGCCACACCAACTTATGTTACAACTACTAATATAGTTATAGATATTTTGTTGTTCTTATTTTATCGTAATATTACTGTTACAGTCAGGGCTGAGCAAAATACATCATTAAAGTATTTGAAATACAAAATACAAAATACTGGCAATCTTAGTATTTGAATTACAAAATATAAAATACTTTCAATCTTTCGATTTGAAATACAAAATACCAAATACTTTTAAGTTTTTATTTGAAGTACAAAATATTTCTTTGAAATATAAAATACTTTTTAATTTGATCTTTCAACTACGATAATAATATATAATGTTAAACTCTCCCCTTCAACAGTCCCCTTTCCATTTTTAGAGAGAGAAAGAAAAGTTGTTTTACTCTCTTACACCCTTTAACAGTCCTATTAGCCTCTATCAACCGCATGAGAAATCTATTTACTAATGTGAGATTATGAAATTTGACTCTGATGATCTTGATATTGTTTGAAACTTGACAAAAATAGTTAGTGTCGCTAATTGTCATATGAGAAAAATTGAAGTTACTATTAATTGTGGTCAAGATATTTTATCAATATAATTTCTTTAGCATTTCAAATACAAAATAGATTGAAATTGTATTTGAAATACAAAATACATTGAATAACATTTTTGAAATACAAAATACAAATTGTATTTCAAATACAATAAGTATTTGAAATATACCCAGTCCTGCTATTACTATTACATATTTTAATTTATTCTCTCTCTCTCTCTCTCTCCCAAGTTTAATTTTTATATTTGGGGAGAGAGGGAACACATGCACGGAAAGACCAATTTTGTTTAATCCAAATCTGAAAATAATTTGTGTTCAATAATCAAAATAATCTTGTGCAAAAGTCAAAATGATTGCTAAAATATCAAAACGTTTTATAGCAATGCTTATCAGTTTCAACATTCCAACAAATTATTTTAATGATTCAATAAAAAATTATTTTCAGATCTGTTTTTAGCAAAATTTTTAGACCTTTCAACAAAATCATTCTTTCCGTGTGTAATTATTTTTTGTTTGGTCTTAAAAAAGCCCTCAGACCCTGAGACGGCAAATTCCATAGACCGTCACCGACCCATCTTCCAAGAGCCGATCCCGAGTGCGTAGATAAAATGACCGCGAGCGATGCGCTGCTAACGAGCACCACGAGCGCGCTAAATTATTCCTACGCGCAAAGATCCTCGGCGATGAGAGATGGAGACGCGCGCGCACCGCATTGACGATATATCTCACGATTGCTTATTACGGAACGATTTTTGAACGATACTGACGGTAACTACAGTATACAAGTCGTAAAGCTGATATCGTATCGCTCTTTTGCAAGAATGTGTGTAAACATGCACTTGTATTTTCAAGTTCGAATCGTGTTCAGAATTGAAATAACGTACTATCATCGAAATTTATCGAAAGATTAAGAAAATCGTGAAGCAATTTTTCGATCGTCGATGTCATGCGAGAATAATAATACGACAAATATAGTATGTCGGTTTTTACAATATCCAGCAAAAGCTATTTATCTTGAAATAGATAAAAAATTCTTTTTTTTTAATAGGAAATAATAAAATTTCTAGATCAAATATCTGTGGTATCATATGCAGTAATTCTAATAAAAATCACATATCTAATATCTATTAAAAGTTGCCCTCTTTAAGCATCCATTAATCAGACTCTTTCAGAGTTAAATTTATCGAAAGGTTAAGAAAATCGTGCAATTTTTCGATCGTCGATGTCATGCGAGAATAATAATACGACAAATATAGTATGTCGGTTTTTACAATATTCAGCAAAAGTCTATCTATCTTGAAATAGATAAAAAATTAATTTCATGTTTTTTCATAGGAAATAACAAAATTTCTAGATCAAACATCTGTGGTGTCACATGCAGTAATTCTAATAAAAATTAAAGTATCATATATCTAATATCTACTAAAAGTTGCCCTCTTTAAGCATTCATTAATCGGACTCTTTCAGAGTGAAATTTATCAAAAGGTTAAGAAAATCGTGAAGCAATTTTTCGATCATTGATGACATGCGAGAATAATAACGACGAATACCTGTATCGGTTTTTACAATATTCAGCAAAAGTTTATCTATCTTGAGATAAATAAAAAATTAATTTTATACGTTTCTCATAGAAAATAACAAAATTTCTAGATCAAACATCTATGATGTCAAATGTAATTCTAAAAATTAAAGTATCACATATCTAATATCTATTAAAAATTATCCTCTCTAAGCATCCATTTATCGGACTCTTTCAAAGTTAAAATATTTTCTTTTGTAGAACGAGTAAAATTCAGATTCAAACTGTATTTAGCACTGAATGTAAAGCACATATGATATGGACCCATGTGTGTTTATGCGAATCAGCCAATCGTGCAGCGATATCGCGTATCAAAATATTACGGAATCGCGTCGCGCAGTCTCGCTCGTTACAATATATTGGACGATCAAAAAACTTCAAGTACACACGACGATCGTAACGTCGGTCGCCTCGCCTTCTCGACGTTTCCTACGCGTCTACAGCGATTTACGTAACGCCAAGAGACTTTTTTCAATTTCCTGCAGTCGTCTCGACTGGTGCACGTTTTCCTCGTGCGATTTGAAATTAAAACGTCTTTGAAAGATCAAGGTGGAGTCGGATCAGACAATTTTGACCCTAGAACGCACCATGTGAGGAATATTTATCCATTAATATTAATGATCTACGCGATTCTATACATAATTTGCGGAAAATTACATAATCGCCGCGGGGAAACACATGGATCGGAATATAGTCTTTGATCATTAGAAATACTTATACAATCCTCATCTAATATGTGATACCATTACGGCAACGTAAAACATATAATAATGTTACAATTTAAAATAATCTTCCTGTTGCGGTTTCATAAAAAAAAAAATATCAAATTGTATACTTTATACTGTCTTTATACTACCACGAGAAATTCCTCAAAGACGTATACATTTTAGGCATTTAATATTCAAATCCATAAAAAAACTCTTTTTCCGTCCTTTACAATTTCCATTGTTAATACATCAAATCGGAATAAAATTAAGTTTGCGTGTCGCTTAAAGATAGTCTTTGTGGCTGATGAAAAAATGCTTACCGATCAAAATGACCGGTTCGGCTGTTGTCCAATGTTAAAGACTGCTTTTGCAGCACGATCCAGGATCGAGAGAGAGAGAGAGAGAGAAAGAGAGAGAGACGCCTCGAGCTAGTATCTCGTTAAATCCAGCCGATATTAGACGCCGCAATAACAACCGTCGAGCGTTTCGTAATAATTCGCGAGCGCCGTTACGACGTCGTACGCGTTACGTTACGTCGTCGAGCGCGTGAAGTGCGCGATTCCTCCCGGCGGGGCGGGTGCGGAACGGAAAGCGAGAACAATTATCTCCCTCGATGAAAAACCGATCCATCGCAGCCGATTTCCGCTTCGACCGCACGCTCGCACGAGAAAACGCAAATTGCACGCCAGCAATTTTCACATGCGCAAGCTGCACAACCGTCTGATTCACTTCTTTCGTAAGATCGTTGCGTCTAACTTCCTGACGCCAAGTAGGCGCCATCAATTTTCATATTATCCTTTTCATTTTCACAGCAAAAATCATTTACTTTTTTTAATAAATATTTTCCCCGATAACAAGAAGTCAAATTCTTAAACTTCAAGGGCATTTTATGCATTAATTATAATGCAGCCTATCAAAATTTGTAAACAAAGATAATTGTAACATTTTATTCGTTTTGTTAAAAAAAATAAGATTTTATTTCTTTCATCAAACTTTTAATTAGAGGTGTGCGAATCAAGCATTTGCATGGTCGAATCGAATCGAATCGAATTTTTGATAACATGTTCGAAATCGAATCGAATCGAATCTCTTTAATTCAAATACAAATCGAATCTGAATAAATTTTTCCCAGATTTACATTACATATTAATTTAAACGTAAAAAATATCAAAATTTATGAATTACATTATTTTACGCAATGATTTAAACAAACTGAAGACCTGTCTTCGATTTACATCTCATTTTAAAGAATCATAATTTTATGACACTTTGAACTAGAAAATATGTAATTAATAATATGTGCATACACGAATAGTTCGAATGCTTTCGAATATTTTCTATATTAATCTACATGGGTACATTACATACATCAAAAATACTTATTTATTAGATAAGAATAGTTGATCGCGCGGGAGATATAAATGAAGCAAATAAAATAGGCGATCGATTCAAAATAGAAACATTGTTGATTCGAAATTCTCGAACTATTCAATTTCGAATTTTAGAGAATTTTTCAGATTCGAAAATAAACTCGAATCGAATCCACTTTGATTCGACTCGAATTCAAACTATTTGCACATCTCTACTTTTAATGTACTTTTAATTTCTTCTTTCGTATTTTTTTGAAAAAAATCAATTAAAAAAAATCCAATTCTCTTTCTTTTCTTCTGTCTCCATTTCCCCTCTCTTGCCTCTCTTTCTTTTTAATTTTAATGTGATAAGAATATAGAAAAAATTATTTCTCCTTACATACATTTTTAATTTTTTCCTTGATTTTGTCATGTATGTTATTCGAATAAAGGAAAGCGTGTTTGTTTGTACTTTGCGCTCACCTTTTTCTGGCACACTCATTATAACACTGCCGTTGTGATATACATGTGTATAACTCTCTGCAAAACACTGATCGCTCTCGTCCGGACGTTCAAACGCGATCACGATGAATTGCGGCCTGACCTATATACAGACAGGAATCGCGATTGTTCGCCATCTCGGGGGCCGCTTGTCTAGCGCGGCCTGAGCTCGCACACATCCGTCTCGCATATTTATTTCTTCAATTAAACTGCAACGTGTATATATATGACCACGAGCGTACATAATCGGTCTGATTTAATGCCGAAGTAAAAATTGCTTCTCTGGCAAAAATACCGAGGCAATTCTTATACCAGTTCTGACAAATGTCGTCCTTGCGATTAAAAGAGATTCAAGGAACGCATTCCTCCGAATGCGTTCGTAAATATTACGTAATGCATGATAAACAGACTCGCGTTGTGGTACATTCAACAGTTCAAATAAGCACTATCGGAAAAGACTGAAGATATGGGATAAAGAATAAAGATTTACTGTTACAATAAATACCGAAATTTTTGTCAATAAGATTTGTTTTTGTTGGTTTTTTTTCTTTGTTTTACTGTCACAAAGATTTTAAAATTAATGAAAGAAATGGATAAATATAGTAAAAGATAGTAAATGTAAATGTGACGTATGTAGTGTCACTGTCCATCTTGCCTTATTAAAATCTTGTAAGCTCCAAATTGCAAAACAAAGAATCTAATAATTTATTATTTATCAATTCTTCTTACAAGGGAACCTCGCGAAGTGTCAAATTCTGATTTTAATGAAACCTGTCTCTTATACACATCTCTG